ACACTGAAATTCTAATAAAGCCATTACAGAAATGAAGCAGGTTATATATGTGGTCATGAAGAGATATCAAGACACACTATGAAAAGTAGAAAGTCTTCAATTTGGATGACAGCTAAATTACACAAGAAAAAAAAACTGATGTTAATACTAAAGCTAAAGCCTTGTCATAATGCAATCATAACAAAGTGAACTCACCATGGTTTTTAAAAGTACATGCATCTAGGGTCTGGAGAGATGGCTTAGTGGTTGAGAGCACTGACTGCTCTTCCAGAGGACCTGGGTTCAATCCCCAGCATCCACATGGCAGCTAACAACTGTCTGTAGCTCCAAGATCTGAACCCTTACACAGACATACATGCAAGCAAAACACCAATGTATATAAAATAAGAATAAATTATTTTTAGAAATACATGCATCTAGAAGGTATTTATTAACATACATAGTCCACAAAAGAATAGGTTGAGCATTCCCATTCTTACCCACCTGCAGTTGTTTGGCAGATAAATCCTTTGTTCCCCTGAAGACATAGCTTTTTGAAATGCCTTCACATCCAAGTTCATGAACCTGGACCATTCTCCCAAAAGTAATAAGTCCAACCAAAGCTGTAGGTGGCAAAAGACTCAATGACATCTGCATGGATTCCTTTAGAGCTTGCAAATCTTCATCTTCTATACAAGTATCAACCACATAGAGAAATATCAAAGGCATCTGGGGACCACGCTTGAAAAAAAATGCAGTAAGGAAAGGACTTATAAAGGTATTAGCATTGTATAACAATATTCAAGACAGTCAACCAGGGACTAATTAAAACTGAAAACAGTGAAATATTAATATGTGCATGCAGTGGAATGCTAATAAAACCATTATAGAAATGAAACAGGTAATATCCGTAATCCTGGAGAGAGCTAAGACATAGCACTGAGTGAAAAAGGAAGTGTAAAGGGCTGACAGGGTGACTCTGCAGGTAAAAGCACTTGTGGCACAAGCCTGAGGACCTGAGTCCATCCCAAAACCCACAGTGGAAGGAGAATACTGACTTCGGAAAACTCTCTTCTGACCTCCAAACACACACACACACACACACACACACACACACACACACACACACACACACACAAAGACATAGACACACACACAGAGAGAGACACACACACACAGACACACACGGGGGTGGGGCATGGCTTTGGTTTTCTATTTAATTACATGAAGTTTATTTTCTTGTAAGCATTTATTACTTTTCAAACTGAGTGTAGTAATGCACACCTGTGACCCCAGCACAGGACCACCAAGAGTTGAAGGCTATCTTCATCTACATAGGCAACGTGACATACATGAGACTCTCTCACAAATAATAATAATAATTTTAAAGTATTTCAAATAATAATTTAACAACTACAAAGTTCAGGCCAGGTACAGGAACACCTATGGCTTCAGCT